ACGACTCCTGGGCCCATAACCTGTTGAGTTGCGTTACTCGCATTCTTGCAGCTAACGTTGCGTTCGGAGGAAAAGAACGGACGATTCAGATGAGCCACCTTTAGCCGTCTTCGGCATATTTATTTCTTTTCTACGAGCTGCCGCTGACACATCAGTCTCACGGTCAGACGGCCTTCATCACTTCTTCATATATAACAGTTTGGGACAAACAAAACAACAATGCAAACGAGTGCCCCCTTGTGGCTCATGCACAACACAGATCAGCGCTGTACTACACCTTCACCACAACTGAGGACATAATGAACATATCCCAACAGAAGACAATGCATTTCATTGGTATTTATTATGTCTTTTGTGTGTTTTACACTCGTGTCAATAAACCTGTGGACAACGGACGATTGTCTTCAGAGTCGTGATGTCAGAAAAGAGTTCGTCTAACTGCCAAGGTGTATCGGAGCACATATACCAAGGGCGGCATAACATTCAATGATTACTCCTTCGGCCTGAAGCTTCTTCAAGTAAACATGGCATGCATCATATCATCAATATCTAAAATGTAATACTTTCCTGTCATACCATGGTGACTGAACCTGAGCTTTAGTTATCTCCCTTTCCGAAACCGACAAGCCAGAGTTTCCCTCATCTCAAACTATGAGTTTCCACTGTGAGATGCGTGTAGTGGTAACATTCTGTGAACAATTGTCTTGCGCTAAAAGCCAGATCTCAGTGGTTGACCCTGAGATGGAGAGATAGAAAGATCTAGGGTTTGGAGCTGTGTTTGGGGAAGGGGGTTATCTTGCTCTCACAGACCTTCGATCAAAGGAGCATTGGGTGTTACCCTCAGCTTCACCTGAGTTCTTATCTCAATTTGTGGCTTCTCTGGCGCTAAGAAATGTCTTCAAGTGTATAAATACTCAGTGTTTTTACTGCTCGGTGACGCCTTTTACACAGAGCGCTAGAATACGTGCTGGTGTGTTGGACCTTCTGCTTATAAGCAATATTTAGAGACATATCTGCGGAGAATTGCTCATGTAATCTTTTTCTCTTCTAAATAAATATTAACCTTTTGAATTTAATTGATCAACGTGCTGGATCCTTCCCATCAATCGACTTGGGGGGGATCGGAGATCCCGACAACACTAAACCTGCTTCTTGAAACGGACCTCTGGTGTACGAGTCTTCATTGGAGCTTCTATCACAGGGGCGTTGTGACGGTTCCCTGCTGTATTACTTGTGTGCCTGAGTCGCTTATGTTTGGTTACAATTTGAAATAAGTAAGATAATGGTGACAATGAAAATTGTGCATTATTTGCATGTAATTGTTATTCTTAAACCCCCCTGTTCTATGAGGTCTGAAGCCACGGCGGCTGCTGAGCATCAAGGTACTGAAGCGCACATCTGACCTTCATGTGGTCTGGGCAGCGATGTGGATGTGGGGGCCTGTTCGAGGTACCAGGTCTTTCTGCCAGAAGGAGACGAAGGAGTTGAGCAAGTTCTCCCAGCAAGTTTACATACTGTGATGTCTTGAGAGGTCAGCATCGTGAGGCGTGGGTGCAGAAAATGAAGATAACAAACAATGCTTCGAAAACTCAGTCTACTATTCGTCTTACGTTATCAAAAAGGTGAACTTAATTCTGACAAAAAAAACACTACAACAACACTGCTAATGTTTACAGGATGAAACCCAGAGATTTTGTGTAGCCTAATTAAAATGAGACAGGACTCCAAGATGAATTAATTTTTAATGTGGGTCCTTTATTTGCCCCGACTGCCCTCCTGGAGCAATTTGTCAAATTTAGAAGACACTTAGGACAGAGTACAACAAACAAAACAATTGCTTTTTACTAAACTTTAACTTGTGTATGACATGACAACATGGAATAGAGCCACATATAAAACAACAGTAGTGACTTCCTCCTGTTAAGCAGAGACAAAGAACATTCACATCTGTCTCATGCTGTTCAACACTTACATCACCGTTATTCTTTCAAAAGTTGAGAAAATAATGAACTCACTCGAGCGCCTGTGTGCACGGATCCATACATGTGTGATGTTGACTCACCGCAGCTTCTGTCTCCCTCTAAAAGACGAATCGATATAAAAGAAGCAGAAGCGGCCGCGCATGCGTGAGGACCGTCCTGTAATTCTCACAGTAGCAAAGTCATCCGGCGGCGGGCCCCGAGTTTGACTCCTATGGTACTTAAAGTGTCACTTTCTCTAATCCTGTATGTGGACCATCTAGCAGTACGAACACCTCTCTGCCCCCACGTCACCCGGCTACATTTGTTTTTAGAAAAGTCCGACAGTTGTAACGTTTTTACTCATTGTCATGTACGGTAGTCTAGTGCGCTTGCGCAGATACACTCTGCTCAATGAAACTCATTGTTTTTATTCATTTTATACACTTTACATCGAATGAAGACGAGATAAAACATAACAGGATGTTTTTATTGATGATTTTTAGAAAGACACACAGAAAGTTAATAAACATTATTCACCATTCACTGTTACAGAACAGAATATCATTAAGTATTGAGAGAAAACCTGCACACATTGTTGTAAGAAGCGCACTAAGACTAATGAATAGCGGGTCGTCGTGGCGTAGGGGCAGAGAGGGTCCGCTAGGAACTGCAAGGTTGGTGGTTCAAGTCCCAGCTGCCCCATGTCCCAAGTCAAAGTGTCCTTGAGCAAGACACCTAACCCCTAATTGCTCCCTGGGCAAAAATGTAATGTAAGCTTTGGATAAAAGCTTCAGCTAAATGACCTGTAATGTAATAATGAATACAGAGAAGATGATACAGCTTCATAGCTTCCTCTTCCTCTTCTGCCTCATGGCCATCATGTTAACATAGATGTCTTCTTCTGCGTCCTGCAGTGGAAAGAGTTTTAGTTACTATACAGATGAAAACGGATGCAGATTCTTTGTGTTACAGATGTGTCCGTGTCACAGAACAGCATGGGAGCAATGCACCACCTAAAGTAGGTAGAACATGTTAAACACACACACACACACACAATAATGTTCACCATATCATCTTTATGAAGTGATGAAATGTCCATGTTGTGTTTAGAGCTTCATGCACTGGCCCTTAATAAATGAATGCAGGTTTAAAGCTGTTCTAACTACGTTGTGTTTTAATAGTTCTTACATAGTCTTCATTTTTGTAGGTTGTCATTGTGGATATTTTGTTCTTGGATGAATGAATGGAAGCACTTGAAGAAGCTTTTATGGCACACAGCTTAGCAAAGACACCATCCAGCAGACACAGAGCATCATCAGCATTCATTTGGAGACGTGCTTCACTGCATTGGAGGAGACTCTGCTCTTTAAACATCACCACCATTGAAGGATTATTCCTGTGCTAATGTTGTAAACCAAACAAGGGCCTGATCATGAAATATCTCTCCTCTTCTGATGTCTTACCTCCTGTGGTTTGGTGCAGCGTCTTGATTTCAACCAGCTGGAAGGAAAAGAAGAAGGAATGATTTTGTTAGTGTGAGCGATCAGGACTGAGACTCCGGTGCAGAGGAATAAAACAACAAAAAGATTTATTTCCAGGGTTCAGATCTTTACTTCACTTTTTCTCTTTACAAAGCCAATGAAAAGCAGCAGAGACACGAGCAGACTTTACACGCTGGGGGGGGAAAAGCAAAAGCAGAGACATGTGCAAGTTACTCTGTGGTTATTATTTTACTTAAATGTAACGTTTTGTTGTTTTGTTAACCTCCCACCACTTGGGGGCGTAAGGACGCTGTAAATTAGGCCACAAGGTCGATATAATCAGCAGCATTACAGGAACAGGTGGTTGTTATTGTGAGGAGCAAACAGTTTGTAAGGACGTGCAAGAAGGTGCAAGTGTTGTTTGATGGTGTATGAAAACCAACGGAAAAAGTGTTATGATATATTATTAATTTAGAGAAGGAAAAGGTGGATGAAGACAAACAAAGTGATCTGTCTTCTGTTTGTATTTGGAGAAGAAATCAATTACCATCAAAGACAAACTGGACTTTTTCAAGGATTTTTTCACGCGTTAAAACGAGCAGCAACCAAAAGCTTCTTTTGATGGTCAAAGGAATCAAGTAGAATAAATGATTTGTCTTCTTTTCTTAAAGAAAACAGTGAAACTTATAATCTCATTATTAGGAGATGAGGATGTATTGCGACAATAATAATAATAATACACTATGAGTCGTTCAAATGTCAACAAGTAACAAGGACTGAGTTGTTATGTTTGACCTTCTGCATCTTTGTAAAATGATTTATAATATTCATTCATATTATCATCATTATGAATATTGATAATGAATTATGCATTAATGCATTACAACATTCACAATGACACAAACTGGTGTGTATCTGCACACAATCATATTGTAAAAAAAGGTTTTCTCACCACGCAAAGATGAGCAAAGTAGTGATGAGCAGAATGATTCCCAGGACCGTCACGATGACTTGAGCACCAACCAGTTGATCACCTGCAACACAACGACATGGTCACCTTTAAAATTTTATCACTCAAATCATAATTCCTGCAGCGACCTTCAAATACCAACAGACGTCCTGTCGATAGCTGAATGTGTGGCTCATTTCTGCATCCACAATAACACAATGTGCCTCCATCACTGCTGGTCACTTCACAGCCATGAAGACTTAATGATGATGAGAAAAGATCAGGGGTCTCTTTGTTAAAGCAGTGCGACGGATCCCCTCTAAATATGTGCACACGTTCAAAGAAGGAAATGCATGCACTCCAAAACACATCCAGATGTGTAAAGCATCGCGTTGCCAGTGAGCCATTTCCTTTTAATAAATCCCAAATGAACCTGTGATGGTGCACGACTGAACAAAAAGCTGCATCTCTAACAGAGTAACAAGTGTAATACAGTTCTGTGTTTACCTTCTATAGTCAGATGGATCTCTGATGATGTTTGATTACCAAGCTGATTGGTGGCCACACAGTAATAAACTCCTCCATCAGTGACATTGAAGCTGTAAAAGTCTCCTTCAGATACTTTGATTGGTGCATCTCTGCTGGTCTTGAACCAGGTGAAGTTGCTCACAGGAGGATTGGCTCTGCTGGAGCAGGTCAGGTTCACCCGGCTACCTGCTGACACCCGACCTGATGGACTGATGGACACCGAGGTGTTCTTGGAAGCGTCTGAGGAAAATGTGACATTAAAACTTTATGCAGCTGACATTGTGTGAACACATGAATCATCATATGCTGACAGGATCAAAGAACAAACACTCACATGAAACACTGAGAGTCATTTTCTCCTCTGACGTCTTTACATCTTTTCCTTCATTCACAGGATATCTGGCAGAACAGCTGATGATGAATCCATCATGTTCATGTGACAGAGTGATGCTCTTCTGGATTCTAGTTGTGAAGGTTCGATCTGTGTTTTCCTCCATCATGAGGTGAGAGTCTGGTTGGAGGTTCCAGGTGAGTTGAGGAGGAGAGTGTGGACAGGGAGTGGAAGCTAAGCAGCTTATAGAGACAGACTCCTTCTCCTTCACATCACCTGAGATCTCAATCCTGGGCTTTGGAGGAGAATCTGTGGTTTCAAATCAGATACAGATTATGAATCATTTTGTTTAATAAATAATTTGTTTGTTTGGGGCTTCTGGTAATTTTTCTGATGTTTCTGAATGTCAGCAGATTCATCTACATTTCTCCTCTCAATTTCTCACATGGCTTCATTTACTAATTATCACTACTTAATAATAAAGCAGAGATTCAGAAAAGTCCCAAATATGAACTCGTATGTGTAGCAGAATTTTTTATCTCCTCTCCTTTCCCACCTCATGACCACTCAGATTTTATTTGTGACCCTCTACAGGGGAAAATAAAATATTAACTCACTAATTAATGTTGTCAAAACACTGATGGTAAATTGTCAGAATTTTTTTTTAAACAATACATGTAAAGGTCAACATGTACATGTAAAGAAGAAGATAAATGTTAATCCAGAGTGCATTCCCTGGTTGGTGTCTGTAGCTATTTACTTTCACATTAAAAGTTATCATCTCGTTTCTGTTTTTACTCTAAATTGTAACATCATTGATTGTTTCATCTAAAACAAATGTCTCTTACCTTTAACTGTTATTTGAAGAGAATCACAAACAGCTGTTGCTATAAAAGGCCGGTTCTCAACCCTGAAGTAGTATGTGTCTGTGTATGTTGTCTTTAAACTGGAAAATAAAGTGGTGCAGTTTTTCTGACTCAAGTCTCCAGTAAAACTCATCAGATATGTGGAAACTGTCCCACTACTGTTGAAAATCACATTATTTGGATTACGGCCAAAATGAGGATAGTTTTTAATCCACACTCCAAAGGTTGTTGTTGTGCTGTTGAATTCCTTTTCTGATTTCACGCTGAAGTTACATGGAATTTGCAAACAAGATCCAGTCAGTGCTTCCATCTCTTTTGGTGCAGTGATGAATAGATCTGAATCCCATTCACAATCAGCAGAAGCACCTGTGAAACAAACTAATGATTAACAGTGGTGATTAAAATGTGTAAAAACACAACAATAACATGAACACAAAGAGAAATATACTTCAGCAGTAATGTTTTTGTCACTGGGTGGACGATTGGGGACCCTTGATTGCATGCACAATTGATTGCATGTTTTATTGATTGCATGTTTTATTGATTTGTTGTTGCATGTTTTACAGTTTGTTATTTTATGATTACATGTTTCTATGACTTGTTGTTTTGTGATTGCATGCTGGACAATTTATAATCTGCTTTGAGTTTTGTTTGAGTTGTGTCCTCAATTGACAATCGTCCCCAACTCATTAGCAATTAGTGTCATATGGCAAATGGACCAATGGGGAAAGGCCAGGGGCAGGACTTTCTCTTTTTAAGGAGGAAGAAACGGGGGAGAAACAAGAAGAAACGGGGAAGAAACAGGGCGAAACTGGAAAGGAGAGCTGGGGAGCAACAAGGAGAGCTGGGGAGCAACAAGGAGAGCTGGGGAGCAACAAGGAGAACCGGGAAGAAACGAGACACGAGAGAAGGGAGAAGCAGAGGTACCACCACCACCACCACCAGCAGCAGACTTACCACCAGAAGCAGCAGCAGCGGAGGGCAGGAGCAGACTCACCACCAGCAGCAGCAGCAGCAGCAGCAGCAGCAGCAGAGGGCGACTGGCAGTCAGACGTCCACATCAGTGGACTAGGGACGCGCAGGACTTCGCTCCTGCTGTGGTGATGACCCTGGACGGACTATTTTAGCTCCCTTTTATATATTTTAACCTTTGTATTAAAATAAATATTTTTTAGTCGTATTTCCGCCCCTGTCTCCTCTTGGGTCATTGTTTTACTGCTCCCCTCCAAACAAACGAACCTTTGTTTTTAATTATTTAGAGTTCCTAGGGCTTTTACCTAGGTGGCGTTGTTGGCAACACTTTTAGTTTTAAGAAGAAACCTCGGCCGCTGACATAAATTTGGCGTTGCTGGCAGGACTTGGATTTTTCGGGAGCAGTGAACATTGGCCTAAGCGATCCCTGTTTAACTTAATAATGATGATGATGCCTTTGTATGCTGGTGCCCCCTGGGTTCCCAAATATACAGGACCTAGTGGCAGTTTACAATATGGGGATTGGAAAGAACAGATCCAAGGACTTTTAGGTATTCAGGAATTTTCTGAAGCAAAGAAAGTAAATTGTCTTGGGAGCTTTGGGGGGAGAAGCCAAACAACAGGTTGGTGTTTTGGTTGAGGATGAGCGCGATAGAGTTGCTAAAATATTTACCTATTTAGATGCACTCTATGGGGAACAAACTTCTATCCCTGCATTACGCGCCCATTTTTATAATTGTTATCAAAAGCCTAGAGAAACTGTGAAAGCGTATCTGTTACGCTTGCGAGGGCTATATTGCAGGCTACAACGACGCAGCCCGGATGACGCCCCCACGGAAAACAATCTGCGTGAACAGTTCCTACTAGGCTTGGAAGATGGTGCCCTGGCCCAGGATCTAAAAACCTATGCCCGACGTAATCCAGGACGGAGCTTTGACGATCTACGCCAGGAAGCAATGCTGTTGGATGACGAGCATGGTGGTGAAAGACTGACCGGGGTAGAGTGTTCTGCTGTACGAGAAGCCCAGGCAGCAAAGCCCTTGACATCCGAACGGGACTGGAAACAAGCCTTTAAAGATGAGATTATGGCAGAAGTGGCGGGCCAGATGAAAGGGCTGACTCAGGAGATTGTTCGGGAACTGCGACCTCTCCTAGAGCCCAGACAACTTAACCATCCCATTTATGCTCCCCCAGTAGGTGGACGACGACGAGCAACATCTGACTGTTCTAATAGATGGGATACTGAAGGTAGGCCTATCTGCCGTCGCTGTAAACAGCCGGGACATGTGGCTAGATTTTGTAGGGCAACTTCAGAAACCAGGCCGGCTTTAAACTAGTTAGCCCTGCTCCTGAGGTCCGAGTAGTAGGGTCAGATAGTATAGCCAATGTAGGGGCCACCCCAACCTTTGTAGGAAATTGTCCAATGGTAAAGGTTCGCATAGATGGAGTAGAACTCTCAAGGTTACTGGATACTGGTTCTCAAGTAACTTTGATGCAACAGCAAGTACTGGAACGACATTTCCCTGATTGCAAGCTGGGTGTGGGAGGAACCCCGGCTGTATTGACTCTCAAAGCGGCTAATGGCCTGGAAATCCCGTATATAGGCTACGCGGTGATGAACTTTGAAGTGGGACACATTAAGATACCGAATAGGGGTGTTGTCATTGTAAAAAACGAATGCTCAACTAATCCCTTGATTCTGGGAATGAATGTCATTAGTGCTTGCTGGGAGACTCTTTTTCAGAAGACTGGGGGATCTACACTGCCCGGTGATAGCCCTCAGGCTCAGAAGGCTTGGAGTCAAGCATTCGCTACATGCCGGCGGATCAGCGTCTCAACAGGTGACTTGTCTACACATTATGTCCGCCCAGCTACCCGCCAGAAGGTACGTGTTCCAGCCTTCACCGAAGTAGTAATATGGGGCCGTGCTCGTATGGGCCCAAAAGGGACTGATTATTGTGGACTAGTGGAGGCCCTCCCACACACTAGTGCCGTTGGAACCGCAAGAACCGTGGTAACGGTAAGGAAAGGAAGACTCCCTGTTCGTGTTTGTAATCCTCACCCCTACAGTTTGTCCATAGGCCGATACCAGAAGTTGGGAACTATCAGCCAAGTGGAGGAGACTGATTTGTATGGAAAGGAGGATTTAAGCCTGACACAAGACTGCGAGGGTGTAGTTCAGGTTGGCGTCGTGGAGGCCTCTGAGGTCCCAGAAGATTTAAATCCTGACTGCGAGGTGAACAATTTAGTTGACCGGCCTGATCTAACTGAGCAACAACGGGTAGACCTGGGTGTTCTGTTAAATAAGTGGAGTAATGTTTTTGCTGCCAACGATGATGACTTTGGGCGGACTGGCATTGTTCAACACAGAATACCCACAGGTGATGCAGCTCCAATCCGAGATCGGTTCCGGCCCTTACCTCCAACTCTCTATAAGGATATGAAGACTCTGCTGGCAGGTATGCTAAAGAACAATGTGATTCGAGAGAGCTCTAGTCCATGGGCTTCACCTATTGTGCTAGTAAGGAAGAAAGATGGAAGTCTGAGGTTCTGTGTGGATTACAGGAAATTGAATTCTGTGACTCATAAGGATGCATTTCCCCTCCCCAGAATTGAAGAGACCCTTACCACCCTCAATAGGGCTGAGTGGTTTTCGACTTTAGACCTCGCAAGTGGGTACTGGCAGGTGGAGATGGACCCACAAGATCGCGAGAAGACTGCTTTTACAACACCATTGGGTCTTTTCGAGTTTGATAGGATGCCATTTGGTCTTTGTAATGCCCCTGCTACCTTTCAGCGCCTTATGCAACGGTGCCTAGGCGGACAACTAACGGAGTCACTGCTTGTTTAC